GACAGCTGGTACTAATTCTCTTAATTAGGCAGATTAACCAATCAATTGCTTGCTCTCTCATTAAGTACTGTGAATTCCACTGAGTAATTAAAGGGACCTCCTTAAATCATCAACACAGCTGCTAGGGCAGTAATATAACGTATACCAAACAACAACACTGCCCAAACACACAAACATAATGATGCTGTCAGCATACCCCACATGCTAATGACATCACTATGCAATCAGTCAGCAATCACAATTTCTGACTCACCACACAACACCGTAATAATATACATGCAAATGAAACACATGGAAATGGTACACACTAATCAATGATCATAAATCAAATAGCTTACCTATCATTCATCCACATAAATTTACATATAATAACAATATCACTAGAGAAATTATACATAATTATAGAGACCTCACGGTGTCCACTGACAACCCTACTACACTGGCCTGCCTATCTCTGTAAATATAATTAACATGCGGCAACATGGCATTAATCTTGACTCTGAACGATATATACATTTAATCGACAGTTCAACGATCACTTACATGGTAGAAATATCTACACTGACCAGTTTACATACTCGAGTCAGTCTTCACACACAACATATCTATATACATCTACATGTGTGGTTCTGTGTATAATATACACCCTCACAGACGGTCACCTTGACATCACTACAGAAAGCTGCCTCTCAGCTGTTTCCCTCGCCTGGCAGGCGCTATGGAACAACACAGCTGGTGCCGGAATTAACATTAGTCCAGAGACACTGCATACACTACAATATAATGAGTACTCTCGATTACCACTCTCATTACCTTCATTCCCCCAGTCACAGCCTCACTTGCAGAAGAACACCTAGCTCGCTCCCATGTGCGTCGACTAGGTGTGGCCCTAGGGTGTGACCAGGGCATGTGGTCAAGCGTGGCCCAAGGGGGTGGCCAAGACATGTGGCCACTGTGTGGCCCTAAGGAGTGGCCACAGCGTGGCGCTAAGGAGTGGCCATGGAGTAGCGCGAGGTGGTCGTAGCGCTCTACCCAGGATGAGATGGCGAGCGGGGTGGCTGGAGTGGTCCACAGGTGGGTTGGCAAGGGTGTGGCCACCTCGTGGCCCCGTGTCTGGCCACGGAACGGTGCGGCGCACACATGGGGTTGCCTCAGGCTGGCGGGCTCAGGCGTACACAACGAGTGCACCCTACACTCTAGCCTAATCTAGAAAACTAGCTGAGGGAATTTCCATTCCCTCACACCCATGTTTTATCCGTTAGGAATTTTCTTATCTCTTCATAGTTTCCCTTACGGAATGCTGCCCTTATGCTTTCAGTTCCCTTTCTCGAGTACTTTAGCCCTTCTTTGAACAGATACTCAAACGTCAGTCCACTGTGATCGCTCATTCCTACTGGGGCCTCGAAGTCAATTTCCCTTATGTCGGAGTAATTCAGAGTGAAGACTAGGTAGAGTCTCGCTGGTTCATTATTTCCCCTCATTTGTGTGCGTTCCCTGACATTGAGGCTTAAAAAGTTGTTTGTTGCCACCTCTAGTAGTTTAGCTCTCCATGTTTCCTCTCCTCCATGTGGTTCCTTGTTCTCCCAGTCTATCCTTCCGTGATTGAAGTCCCCCATGATGAGCAGAGGGAGATCAAATTCTACAGGCAGCAGAGGCTGCCCTCTCAGTTATATTGTTAACTGCTATGTTGTTTCTGTTATACTCTTGCCTGGGTCATCTGTCGTTTGGGGGAGGGTTATATATCACTGCTACTACTACTCTTGGTCCTCTCATTGTCATGGTGCCTGTTATATAGTCTCTTTTAACCCCTCGAAGCCTTGGATAACCATCTCCTTGAAACTCCATTCCTTTCTCATGAGTAGAGCCACTCCACCTCCTCCACTACCCTCCCTCTCTTTCCTTAATACAGTGTAATCCTGGGGGGGAACACCGCATTCGTTATGATTCCTGAGAGTTGAATTTCCGTGATTCCAATTACATCTGGGTTCACTTCTTGTGCTCTTTCCTTAAGTTCACTTTCCTTACTTATAATCACCTCTATGTTCGAGTACATCACCTTGAAGCTGACTCTATTCTGTCCATCCTCAGTTTCTGTTGATTCCACTGGAGTAGGCAAACCTGGAGGGTCTGGGATGGGTAGGGGGAAGGGAGGGGACCTGGGTTGTGAGTAAATCCATGTTCCCTTTACTGGAAGTAAAGGAGACCTGGATTCTGAGGGGGCCTGGGAGGATTTGGTTTGGAGTGGGTGGGAGCGAAGGGAGGGCTTGGGGTGTGGAGGAAAGAGGGGGGGCTAGTGGGTTAGGGGGGAGGGAGAGCTTCAGGGGTGGGGAAGAAAGGATGGCTTGGGGGGAGGGGGAGAAAGGAGGTGTTGTGGGGGCAGGAGAGAAGGGAGGGTGAGGGAGAAAGGAGGGCTTAGTGGGATGGGGGAGAAGGGAGGGCTTAGGGGAGTGGAGGAGAACGGAGGGGGATAGAGAGGGGTGGGGGAGAAGGGAGGGCTTAGTGTGGTGGGGGAGAAGAGGGGTGGGTAAGAAATGAGGGCTTGGGGGAATTGGGAGGGTTTGGGGAGATAGAGAGGGGATGTCTAGAGGAGTGGGGGGAGTGGGGGAAGGTGGTCCAGGTGGCCACTTAGTGGTAGGCTCGTAGGGGCTGGGGCAGGTAGGGCTTCTATTGGATGGGAGGTGGGTGTGATGCTCCTCCCACTGGGGCTGTTGAACTGACTGTGGAGGGTTCCCCACTCCCCTTTGGGATCGTAGGGTTCTGGGCTGTGGTTCCCTGATTCCTGTCTCTCTCCCTGCACTCCTTCCTTGCTGCTGCTGCCCTCAATCTCTCCTCCCTTGTCATATCCCTCTGCAGGTATTCCTTTTTGAACTTCGGTACATTGAATAGGCTGCTCTTCTTTGCTAAGATTTCTTCTTTTGTGTCCTAGCTTTTGAAAACCACTTTTATCAATCGATCTCTGTCCTTGTTGTACTGGCCAAGCTTGAAAACCTTTTCTATATTCTGTTCTTCCCTCTCCATCTATACCAAACAAGGATCTTTTGAACTGTGGGTTATATCTCTCCTCTTCCCTGGACTGGTCCCTATTTGTTCCTTAATACCTACTACGATTACAGCTCTTTTCCTCTATATCAGGCGGCTTGTGTATCTTGCTGCTTCCTGAGAAGTAGCAACTTTCATGGCAATTTCCTGTACTGCAGAGACAGCTTCTGGGCTCCTTCTAACTATGTATGCAAATGCATGTTGTATTGTAGAAGTCCCTTCTACGGATACATTACCATCTTCCTGGGGGCTGGTTCGTGTCTGGTATTGGGGAGGATTCTTTTTCAGGCTTTTAATCTCCTCCTATGCCTCATTCAGTTCATCCTGCAGGTTGGCTACCTTTTCCTCCATTACCTTTAGTTCTCCCTGATTGTCTCCACATTTGAAGGAGTGCCTCCTGAAACGAGTCATCTTGTCCTTCTCCTCCCCTTCTCCTTGTCTACGAGGGGCCTCGTAGCCTGGTGGATAGCACGCAGGACTCGTAATTCTGTGGCGCGGGTTCGATTCCCGCACGAGGCAGAAACAAATGGGCAAAGTTTCTTTCACCCGGAATGCCCCTGTTACCTAGCAGTAAATAGGTACCTGGGAGTTAGTCAGCTGTCACGGGCTGCTTCCTGGGGGTGGAGGCCTGGTCGAGGACCGGGCCGCGGGGACACTAAAGCCCCGAAATCATCTCAAGATAAGAAGAAGATTCTCCTTGCCATGTTTGTTTCCTATTCCAATTCTCCAATCTAATGGGCAGGATGGTGTGTGTGTGTGTGTGTGTATTTCCTATTCAAATTTTCCAATCCAATGTGTGCGTGTGTGTGTATGTTTGTATGCGTGTGTGGGATAGTGTTTGAGTATGTGTGTGTGTGTGTGTGTGTGTGTGTGTGTGTGTGTGTGTGTGTGTGTGTGTTGTGTGTGTGTGTGTGTGTGTGTGTTGTGTGTGTGTGTCGTGTGTGTGTGTGTGTGTGTGTGTGTGTGTGTGTGTGTGTGTGTGTGTGTGTGTGGTGAGTGTGGAGTGTGTATGTGTGTGTGTATTTGTGTAGTGGGTGTAGTGGATTGGTGTGTAGTGTATGTGTGCGTGCGTGTGCGTGCGTGTGCGTATGTGTGTGTGTACTCACCAATATTAAAAAGTTACCAAGCATCAAAATTTCAACAAACAAATGTTATTGTTATTATAAATAGCTCCTAGTGTTTCGGAACGCAGAAACTGTTTAATAAATATAAAGAAAACTTGTCCGTCTTGACCTCAAAAGATTAAGGTCAAGTCGGACAGGTTTCGTAGGAACAGTTGTTTTGGCTTAAGGTAGAGTATACGTCAAAATGCGACGTTCTATCAAGAGGAAGGGTTGCTGGTATCCAGGTACCCCTAGCAACGCTTCCACACTAATACATGGTACTTCTTTCTCTCTCTCTCTCTCTCTCTCTCTCTCTCTCTCTCTCTCTCTCTCTCTCTCTCTCTCTCTCTCTCTCTCTCTCTCTCTCTCTCTCTCTCTCTCTCTCTCTCTCTCTCTCTCTCTCTCCCCCTCTCTCTCTCTCTCTCTCTCTCTCCCCCTCTCTCTCTCTCTCTCTCTCCCCCTCTCTCTCTCTCTCTCTCTCTCCCCCTCTCTCCCCCTCCCCTCCCCCTCCCTCCCTCTCTCTCCCCCTCCCTCCCTCTCTCTCCCCCTCCCTCCCTCCCTCCCTCCCTCCCTCCCCTCCCTCCCTCCCTCCCTCCCTCTCTCTCTCTCTCCCCTCCCCCTCCCTCCCTCCCTCCCTCTCTCCTCTCCCTCTCTCCCTCCTCTCCCTCTCTCTCTCCCTCTCTCTCCTCTCTCCCTCTCTCTCTCTCTCTCTCTCTCTCTCTCTCTCTCTCTCTCTCTCTCTCTCTCTCTCTCTCTCTCTCCCTCTCTCCCTCTCTCCTCTCTCCCTCTCTCCCTCTCTCTCTCTCTCTCTCTCTCTCTCTCTCTCTCTCTCTCTCTCTCTCCCCCTCTGCAGTAGAGACCATCGGGGACGCGTACTGCGTGGCGGGCAACCTACACCGCCGCAGTTGCTGGCACGCCCACCAGGTGGCGTGGATGGCGCTCCAGATGATGTGCTCCTGCTCCTCCCACACCACCCACGACGGCCAGCCCATTCAGGTGATGGGAGTACGGGGCTGGGAGACACTGTACTCACCTAATTGTACTCACCTAATTGTGCTTGCGGGGGTTGAGCTTTGGCTCTTTGGTCCCGCCTCTCAACTGTCAATCAACTGGTGTACAGATTCCTGAGCCTACTGGGCTCTATCATATCTACATTTGAAACTGTGTATGGAGTCAGCCTCCACCACATCACTTCCTAGTGCATTCCATTTACTAACTAGTCTGACACTGAAAAAATTCTTCCTAACGTCTCTGTGGCTCATCTGGGTACTAAGTTTCCACCTGTGTCCCCTTGTTCGTGTCCCACCCGTGCTGAAGAGTTTGTCTTTGTCCACCCTGTCAATTCCCCTGAGAATTTTGTAGGTGGTTATCATGTCTCCCCTTACTCTTCTGTTTTCCAGGGATGTGAGGTTCAGCTCCTTTAGCCTTTCCTCGTAGCTCAATCCCCTCAGTTCCGGGACGAGCCTGGTGGCATACCGCTGAATCTTCTCTAACTTTGTCTTGTGTTTAACTAGGTATGGACTCCAGGCTGGAGCTGCATACTCCAGGATTGGTCTTACATAAGTGGTATACAGGGTTCTGAAAGATTCCTTACACAAGTTTCTGAAGGCAGTTCTTATTTTGGCCAGTCTAGCATATGCCGCTGATGATATTCTTTTGATGTGGGCCTCTGGGGACAGAGGCCCACATCAGGTGGGCCTCATCAACAGAGGCCCACATCAGGTGGGCCTCATCAACAGAGGCCCACATCAGGTGGGCCTCATCAACAGAGGCCCACATCAGGCCCAGATGATGTGCTCCGCCCCTCCCACACTGTGGGAGGGGCGGAGTGTGGGAGACACTGTGGGAGGGGCAGAGGGAGTGTGGGAGACACTGTGGGAGGGGCAGAGAGAGTGTGGGAGGGGCAGAGGGAGTGTGTTAGGCCGACAAATATAGGTTGGAGAGAGAGAGTGTGGCAGGAAGAGAGGACATTTCATTTATGTTCCTCCTCTTAGTATTTTATCATATATGTATGTTTGTTTTATTCAGTCGACATCTTCATTCAGCGTGTCATCAATGTTGCTGTCCTATGTGTCATAATCTGGATTTTACCTTGATGGGGTTCTGGGAGTTCTTCTACCCCTCCCCCTTCCCCCTAAGCCCGGCCCGATGCCAGCCTTGACTTGTGAGAGTTTGGTCCAACAGGCTGTTGCTTGGAGTTGCCCGCTGGCCCACATATCCACCACAGCCCGGTTGGTCCGACACTTCTTGAAGTAAACTATCCAGTTTTCTCTTGATGACGTCCACTTTTGTTCCGGCAATATATTCTCTGGGAGGATGTTGAACAACCGCGGACCTCTGATGTGTATACAGTGTTCTCTGAATGTACCTATGTCAACCCCCTGCACTTCCCTGGCTATATTCTGCATTTCCTTCCATATCGTTCACTCTGGTATGTTCTTGTTTTACTGTGTAGATTTGAGACCTGGCCCTCTAGTATTTTCTCCATTTACATATTATTCGATATCTGTCATGTCTCCTTTATAGAGAATACTTTTTGACTGGAGCTTTGAGACGTTCCCTGTAGTTTAGGTGCTTTATATCCTGTCTATGTATGCCGCGTATCTCTACTGTAGTCCCTCTATTTCATCAATCTCTCCTGCTCTGAAGAGGAAAGTGAGTATCGAGTAGTATTCAAGGCGGGACAGCAAAAGTGATACGAATATTACAACCATTGTGATGGGATCCCTGGATTTGAAGATTCTCATAATCAGTAAGATATATTTGCATGCTCCCTAAACGTTAGATTCATCACTGTTCTACATCATGTTATTTTCTGCTGCTCAGTCGAGTCGAAACTTTATTAATATATGCATATATGCTAAGTAGTTTTTCAATGTCTTCAACAGAAGTAATTTTCATGCAAATTTTTGTGTCATCTGCAAAAGATGATACGAAGCTGTGACTTGCATTTTTGGTCAATATCTGATATCAGAATAAGGAAAAGCCGGACTGTGCCCTGAGGTTCAGAGCTTTTCTTTGTGCATGGACTTGATTTTATTAGATTGTATGTTACGCTTTGCGCTCTGTTTGATAGAAAATGTAATATCCACCGTCCTACTTTACTGGTTATTCCTATTGACCTCATTTTGTGTGCTATCACTCCATGGTCACAGTTATCGAACACCACATCACCAAAAGTCCGTGAACACCACATCTGCATTCTGTTTTCCTTCTAATGCCTCAGTGACTTTGTCATAGTAGTCGAGTAACTGTGAGACGCATGATATTCCTGATAAATTATAAGTATTATTATTATACTTATTTCTTGCGTCGTCGTTGTTAGTGCGACAACGGTCACTGCTACAGCTAACAGTCACACAGCTAACAGTCACACAGCTAACAGTATCACAGCTAACAGTCACACAGCTAACAGTATCACAGCTAACAGTCACACAGCTAACAGTCACACAGCTAACAGTCACACAGCTAACAGTATCACAACTAACATGATCTTATGCTAACAGTATCAAAACTAATAGTTTCACAGCGAACAGTATCAGACCTAATAGTGACACAGTTAACAGTACCAGAGCTAACAGTACAAAATCTAGCAGTGTCACAGCTAACGGTACCAGAGCTAACAGTACCAAAGCTAACAGTGACACAGCTAAAAGTACCAGAGCTAACAGTACCAAAACTAACAGTGCCACACCTAACAGTACCTCTGTTAATAGCACCATAGCTTACAGTACCAGATCTCCCTTAACCAGAGCTAACAGTACCACAGGTAACAGTACCACAGGTAACAGTACCAATGCTAACAGTACTACATCTACAGATGCGGATCGGGCTCCACACGGGACCAGTGTTGGCTGGCGTTGTGGGCACCGTGATGCCTCGATACTGCATGTTCGGCTCCAACGTAACCATCGCCAACCAGTTCGAATCCACATCCGAACCTCTCAGGATCAACATCAGCCCAACTACACACAGGTGAGCACAACCAGGAAGCACAAGCATGCACCCACAAGTAATAAATAAATATATATTAGAATGCAATGAAATCACATTGGCATGATATATCAATTAAAATCATTTTGAGGAAATGGAGGGACTTGAACCCTCGACCTGGTGATTCACAGACGCCTGCCTTAACCGCTCGGCCACGATGGGACAAAAGTAGACTAACCCAGAACTCTACTGAGTCCTCTGGGAAGTTCTGGAGGGCCCTAAACCGAGGCCCAACCAGCGTTTTCTAGCCAACCCGACCAAACTCGGGCCTACGGTAATGGAAAACGGTAAACAGGGACTCAGTAGTTCTGGGTTGGTAAATTTTTGTACCACTGTGTCCGAGCGGTTAAGGCATGTGTCTGGGAATCACCAGGTCGCGAGTTCAAGTCCCTCCATTGCCTCAAAATGATTTTCATATATTAGAATGTTGGTCTGTCTGGCTGGCTATGTTTTTGAGGTTGGAGGTGAGGGGTACTTCCCCAACATTGTTGGGATGAGTTTGGCACATGTGAAACTAGTGCCACTTGACACAGTGCCAATGACAACCCCAAGATTATTCTCGGTATATCACGTGAACTGGACCAACGGTTATTTAATTTTTGTTTTTAATAAGTATAAAACATTAAACAGAGATGTACCCAAATTAAAACAAAGTCTAATTATCACTCTTTGCCTGTAAATACTGAAATATGTATTCATGATGTTATTCTGCTCTCAATCCCCCAATATCCGACCACCTATTGCCTCCAAAGTCTCAGTCTACCATCGATGCCAAGTCTAAATAATGTTTCACAAATGCCAGGCCTTACCACCCTCTGCCTCCTGATTGGCAGTTTACTACACCAGCATTGTGTCGTGAGTGGGAGAGCACATAAATAGCAGACAGAGAGACAAAGACAAAAAAATACACTCATAGAGAGCAATAGACAAATAGTGAGGAAGAAAGACGAGGAGTGAGCCAGCAACAGACATTGAGAGATAGATGTTCATTGAGACAGACATACAGAGAGACAGAGAGAAACGAAAACAGAGAAGCAAAAAGATAGAGAGAAATGTTGACAGAGACATAGATTGGATCAACCCGGGCACCGCCGGGTATCCCATCCAGCCGTCGCTTATGTAGACATATGCTGTTGTATTTTCTTATGCGGCGCTGCTCCAGATTTCTTAGGTTCTTCCTCTAATAAGGAAGAATATAATGTCCCAAAAAGTAACTTTACACCACTACTGGGCCCGACATGTTGCACTATGTTCGACTCAATGTCTTCAAAGGCGGAGAGGAAGTGCTCAATTAAATTCAGATATATGTTAAAACCATCCCTATTGTAATGCGACGATATGTGATGGTTGATCCATACGTCCTTGTATTCACCTGAAACTATACGTGGATTGTTTATGTGTGAGCAGTAATACTTCTCGGCTCTGTAATGATTACATAATAATATAGATAAAATGGAGACAAAAGGATAGAAAACATTGAATGTATACATAGATTCTATATGAGTGTAAGTCAATATATACAAAATCCAATACAATAAAACTCATTTCTCAAAATACTAAATATTTTGCTAAACGAGTGTAGCAATTATCCAAGTAAGTATTGTTATGTATTAAAGTGAGGCTATGTTAATTCCCCTTTGTTTCATACATAATAATAAAGCAAATAATGGATGTTCCTTCCCTTGTTTCATATATCGTATTGCATGTATTAGTTTCATCGACGGTGTGAACATTATTTTCCATTAGTTTTCACAAAGTACATTGTGAAAACTAACAGTCTTTTTCTGATCTTTGCAGTTATTAGCCTAAAACATTTGTCGCAATATTTCGTTTGCAGTTTTCAGAAACATTCCAGGCTTTCATGCTTGTTGTGACTGACTCCTCGCATGAGTAACACAAATTTCCCCATCCCATCTGTCCCACAGATTTCTGGCGACTACCCCGGGCTGGTCCTTCACCCGGCGGGACCGCAGCTGCCTCCCCAAGACCTTCCCGCCAGACGAGCCCGGGTGCCCCTACTTCCTGGACCAGTACACCAACCCGGACGTCAGGCCCAGAGCGCCCCTCAGCGACCACATAGAGCGGGCGCTCAGAGACATGCAACTAGACACGTCCTGAGCAGGCGACAGTTTAGTGCTCTGGAGCCCTGGTAGACATAGGAGGAATTCCCGTGTGCTCTTCCTGGCTTGCTTGAGGCAGCGATGGTGGAGCCCGGGATTAGATAACAAAGATTTAGGGTTTCTTATGGCATAAGATACATGTTAGTCACCAGTTGTTGTTGTTGAGTGAAATTCGTTATTGCTGGTTTATACAAGATATAAATATATAATATATATCTGTAAATATTTGAGTGCTTAAGTATTATTTAAAATTATTTATAAATTAACTATGATAAGTATTGCAAATAATATGGTAGAGAAATAATATATAGAAGTATTGGAAAATATGTGTTGGCGAAATATTATGTTTACTTCATATCAGTGATGTGATAATTTGGTTATATTTTTGGTTCTATGATTTATTTATGGTACATGAATGAGATGATACATGATTACCATTCATTTGTAAAATAACTTACCTTTTAAGCTAATCGAAATTGATCTTAATACGTTCATACATAACCGAATATAACGTCTAAGATAGACAAAGGCATAATTATGCATTTGTTTGTTCATTGATATTTGTTCATTTACTGACTACAAAGGGTAAACAGGAGCTTCACCATCACAGTCGGGAGCTGGGGCTGCTCATAGGACGTCAGGCTGTAATATATTGAACATCACCATCTGATTTTTCCACCAGAATATGACCACGTCGAAGAGCTTTGTTGTTTTTTGTTATGTCTGTTTATTGACTATTTTTCTCTTGATCCTGATTTTGTTCTTTCTCTTGATCCTGAAGTTGTTCTTTCTCTTGATCCTGAAGTTGTTCTTTCTCTTGATCCTGAAGTTGTTCTTTCTCTTGATCCTGAAGTTGTTCTTTCTCTTGATCCTGAAGTTGTTCTTTCTCTTGATCCTGAAGTTGTTCTTTCTCTTGATCCTGAAGTTGTTCTTTCTCTTGATCCTGAAGTTGTTCTTTCTCTTGATCCTGAAGTTGTTCTTTCTCTTGATCCTGAAGTTGTTCTTTCTCTTGATCCTGAAGTTGTTCTTTCTCTTGATCCTGAAGTTGTTCTTTCTCTTGATCCTGAAGTTGTTCTTTCTCTTGATCCTGAAGTTGTTCTTTCTCTTGATCCTGATGTTGTTCATTCTCTTGATCCTGATGTTGTTCATTCTCTTGATCCTGATGTTGTTCATTCTCTTGATCCTGATGTTGTTCTTTCTCTTGATCCTGATGTTGTTCTTTCTCTTGATCCTGATGTTGTCCATTCTCTTGATCCTGATGTTGTTCATTCTCTTGATCCTGATGTTGTCCATTCTCTTGATCCTGATGTTGTCCATTCTCTTGATCCTGAAGTTGTTCATTCTCTTGATCCTGATGTTGTTCATTCTCTTGATCCTGATGTTGTTCATTCTCTTGATCCTGATGTTGTCCATTCTCTTGATCCTGAAGTTGTTCATTCTCTTGATCCTGATGTTGTCCATTCTCTTGATCCTGAAGTTGTTCATTCTCTTGATCCTGATGTTGTTCATTCTCTTGATCCTGATGTTGTCCATTCTCTTGATCCTGATGTTGTCCATTTTCTTGATCCTGATGTTGTCCATTCTCTTGATCCTGAAGTTGTTCATTCTCTTGATCCTGATGTTGTCCATTCTCTTGATCCTGATGTTGTCCATTCTCTTGATCCTGATGTTGTCCATTCTCTTGATCCTGAAGTTGTTCATTCTCTTGATCCTGATGTTGTTCATTCTCTTGATCCTGATGTTGTTCATTCTCTTGATCCTGATGTTGTTCATTCTCTTGATCCTGATGTTGTTCATTCTCTTGATCCTGATGTTGTTCATTCTCTTGATCCTGATGTTGTTCATTCTCTTGATCCTGATGTTGTTCTTTCTCTTGATCCTGAAGTTGTTCATTCTCTTGATCCTGAAGTTGTTCTTTTTTTGTGTGTTCGAAAAAAATAAACCCGAATCGATAGGTAATTACAAGACAACCCGTAGTTACCAACACCTGGTAGTTACCAACACCTGGTAGTTACCAACACCTGGTAGTTACCAAAACCTGGTCGTTACCAACACCTGGTAGTTACCAACACCTGGTAGTTACCAACACCTGGTCGTTACCAACACCTGGTCGTTACCAACACCTGGTCGTTACCAACACCTGGTAGTTACCAACACCTGGTCGTTACCAACACCTGGTCGTTACCATCTCCTGGTAGTTACCAACACCTGGTCGTTACCAACACCTGGTAGTTACCAACACCTGGTAGTTACCAACACCTGGTCGTTACCAACACCTGGTAGTTACCAACACCTGGTAGTTACCAACACCTGGTAGTTACCTACACCTGGTAGTTACCAACACCTGGTAGTTACCAACACCTGGTCGTTACCAACACCTGGTCGTTACCAACACCTGGTCGTTACCAACACCTGGTCGTTACCAACACCTGGTCGTTACCAACACTTGGTAGTTCATATATACAGCCGTTACACATATACATTCACCCAACAATAACGAGACAATATACAAACAAAAAAAACGAGAAAAATCTAATTAAGGACTTAACTGCTTTATAAGTTTGTGACCAAGTAAAGTTAAGGGTTACTGTATGGGATGGTACAGCTGCTGCACAAGGTACACTGTGGCGGGTGCCACAGTGTACCTTGTGCATTACGGTGCCATGACTGTCAACATACTTAGCTGGGTACAGTTGCCATAGTAGGTACGGTACTAGACTGGGTACAGTTGCCATAGTAGGTACGGTACTAGAGTAGGTACAGTTGCCATAGTAGGTACGGTACTAGACTGGGTACAGTTGCCATAGTAGGTACGGTACTAGACTGGGTACAGTTGCCATAGTAGGTACGGTACTAGACTGGGTACAGTTGCATAGTAGGTATGGTACTAGTCTGGGTACAGTTGCCATTGTAGGTACGGTACTAGAGTAGGTACAGTTGCCATAGTAGGTACGGTACTAGACTAGGTACAGTTGCATAGTAGGTATGGTACTAGTCTGGGTACAGTTGCCGTAGTAGGCACGGTACTAGTCTGGGTACAGTTGCCATAGTAGGTACGGTACTAGTCTGGGTACAGTTGCCATAGTAGGTACGGTACAAGACTGGGTACAGTTGCTGTAGTTGGTACGGTCCTAGTCTGGGTACAGTTGCCATAGTAGGTACGGTACTAGACTGGGTACAGTTGCATAGTAGGTGCGGTACTGGACATGTTACAATTGTCATAAAAGGTGCGGTACTGGGCATGGTACAGTTGCCATAGGTGTGGTACGGGGCGTGGTACAGTTGCCATAAAAGGTGCGGTACTGGGCATGGTACAGTTGCCATAGTAGATGTGGTACTGGGCGTGGTACAGTTGCCATAGTAGGTGCGGGACTGGGCGTGGTACAGTTGCCATAGTAGGTGCGGGACTGGGCTTGGTACAGTTGCCATAGTAGGTGCTGTACTGGGCGTGGTACAGTTGCCATAGTAGATGCGGGACTGTGCGTGGTACAGTTGCCATAGTAGGTGCGGCACTGGGCGTGGTACAGTTGCCATAAAAGGTGCGGCAATGGGCGTGGTACAGTTGCCATAGTAGATGTGGTACTAAGCGTGGTACAGTTGCCAGAGTAGGTACGGTACTGGACGTGGTACAGTTGCCATTGTAGGTGCGTTACTGGGCGTGGTACAGTTGCCATAGTAGGTACGGTACTAGACTGGGTACAGTTGCATAGTAGGTGCGGTACTGGACATGTTACAATTGCCATAAAAGGTGCGGTACTGGGCATGGTACAGTTGCCATAGTAGGTGCGGTACTGGGCTTGGTACAGTTGCCATAATAGGTGCGGTACTGGGCGTGGTGCAGTGTCTATAGTAGGTGCGGTACTGGGCATGGTACAGTTGCCATAGTAGGTGCGGTACTGGGCTTGGTACAGTTGCCATAATAGGTGCGGTACTGGGCGTGGTGCAGTGTTCATAGTAGGTGCGGTACTGGGCTTGGTACAGTTGCCATAGTAGGTGCGGTATTGGGCGTGGTACAGTTGCCATAGTAGGTGCGGTACTGGGCGTGGTACAGTTGCCATAGTAGGTGCGGTACTGAGCGTGGTACAGTTGCCATAGTAGGTGCGGGACTGGGCGTGGTACAGTTGCCATAGTAGGTGCGGGACTGGGCGTGGTACAGTTGCCATAGTAGGTGCGGTACTGGGCGTGGTACAGTTGCCATAGTAGATGCGGGACTGGGCGTGGTACAGTTGCCATAGTAGGTGCGGTACTGGGCGTGGTACAGTTGCTATAGTAGGTGCGGTACTGGGCGTGGTACAGTTGCCATAGTAGGTGCGGTACTGGGCATGGTACAGTTGCCATAGTACGTGCGGTATTGGTCGTGGTACAGTTGCCATAGTAGGTGCGGTACTGGGCGTGGTACAATTGCCATAGTAGGTGTGGTACTGGGCGTGGTACAGTTGCCATAGTAGGTGCAGTACTGGGCGTGGTACAATTGCCATAGTAGGTGCGGTACTGGGCATGGTACAGGCGCCATAGTAGGTCCGGCACTGGGAATGGTACAGTTGCCATAGTAGGTGCGGTACTGGGCATGGTACAGGCGCCATGGTAGGTGCGGTACTGGGCATGGTACAGGCGCCATAGGTGTGGTACTGGGCATGGTACAGTTGCCATAGTAGGTGCGGTACTGGGCATGGTACAGGCGCCATGGTAGGTGCGGTACTGGGCATGGTACAGGCGCCATGGTAGGTGCGGTACTGGGCATGGTACAGGCGCCATAGTAGGTGCGGTACTGGGCATGGTACAGGTGCCATAGTAGGTGCGGTACTGGGCATGGTACAGGCGCCATAGTAGGTGCGGTACTGGGCATGGTACAGGCGCCATATTAGTTATGACACTAAGCTGTCGTTTTTATAACTGCCACTCTGGTGTAATTAGGACATAATTATATTCAGCGATTAGTCTGAATATTACTCTTTTCTTAGAGTTATTTTTCTATAAATAGAATCTGACTTTTTCGCGAGTTGTCTATTTTTGTTCCTCCATGTTTGGACGTGGTCGCCTCGTGTAGTTTGGACTTGGTCGCCTCGTATAGTTTGGACGTGGTCGCCTCGTATTTGGACGTGGTCGCCTCGTGTAGTTTGGACTTGATCGCCTCGTATAGTTTGGACGTGGGTCGCCTCGTATAGTTTGGACGTGGTCGCCTCGCATAGTTTGGACGTAGTCGCCTCGCATAGTTTGGACGTAGTCGCCTCGCATAGTTTGGACGTAGTCGCCTCGCATAGTTTGGACGTAGTCGCCTCGTGTAGTTTTGTTTCTTCCTCCATGTTTGGACGTGGTCGCCCAGTCAGAAGTAATAGAGCCAAATTTGAACTTTTAAATTTTATGCAAAGTCCGGATTTGGATTGAGGTCTTTTTAGGGGTCTTTCTTAAATCTATGCAACAGGCACGCGTACTATTTTCAGTCTTGGGGGGGGGGGTTAAGGCGGGGCTATCCAACGTCCGGGCGAAAGTCCGGAATTGTCTTCACCGTTCCGGTTTCAGGACTAAAAGGGTCCATCTTGGGTCTGACCAACAAGGTTGAACTTTAATTCAATTAACGTTTGAAATTGATGTCAAATCCCTCCCTCACTATCTGACCGGCTATATGAGTAAGCGTTATATCCGAATGCAGGCGATGAGTCACAATAACGTGGCTGAAGTATGTTGATCAGACCACACACTAGAAGGTGAAGGGACGACGACGTTTCGGTCCGTCCTCCACCATTCTCAAGTCGATTGTGAAGAGGTGATGAAAGCAATAAATAGGCAAGAGAAAGGTGAGGGGCAAGGCTAAAAGTACGAACGGTAAGGTGTAGTAGAGGGGATAGTGTTAGGAATAAGAACTCCAGAAGGCCCATTTGCCCTTACGAGGCAGCTCCTATTATTACCACCGAATGAGAAGGGTACGTGGTACATAGGAATAAGAAGAGGATAGCAAGGGAACGTAAGAGAAAACAATGAACAGAAAAAAGAAAAAGGAAAAAGAAAGAACGATAAATGGAAGGGTAAGCTATTGTTAGGTCACGTTTGTTAGAAAGATTAGAGCATTTGATTATATATTGCGAAAGGGAGGTTATCTTGAGGTTATCTTGAGATGATTTCGGGGCTTTCGTGTCCCCGCAGCCCGGTCCTCGACCAGGCCTCCACCCCCAGGAAGCAGTCCGTGACAGCTGACCAACACTCCAGGTACCTATTTTACTGCTAGGTAACAGGGGCATAGGGTGAAAGAAACTCTGCCCATTGTTTCTCGCTGGCGCCCGGGATCGAACCTGGGACCACAGGATCACAAGTCCAGCGTGCTGTCCACTCGGCCGACCGGCTCCCAAGGTAAGCTTATGTTAGGTCATGTTTGTAAGAAAGTAACATTACAGAAGAGAGCATTGTTTGTGTCTGCAGACTTAACACTTCTTTTGTGTTCTTTAAGTCTGTCATTAAGTGTATGGCCAGTTTCACCAAAGTATTGGAAATGACAAGACGAACAGGAAATAGAGTAGACACCAGCAGCATTAGAAGCAGGAGCAGCAGTGTGAACTAGATTGCTACGAAGTGTGTTAGTTTGTCGAAGGCGAGCTTTATGTCAAGAGGACGAAAGGTATTGGTAAAAGTTTTAAGTTCAGATATGAAGGGAAGGCATAGTACAGTGCTACTAGTGTTGGACTGCTTCCAACACTGATGAAGGAAATTTCGTTTAGCTTGAGAATAGGCACAATTGATAAAATGCAAAGAGTAACCAATTCGAGAGAATGATTTGTAGATAAAGACAATTTCAAAACGAACATGCCACCTCCTTACAAGTTGACGATGTTTTTCTTGCTGTTCTTCAACATTAACCCTTTCTGTCCTCTTCTCTTCCCAGTGATCTATGCAATAATATATTTACCATTGCATTTGACACTGCTCACGTCTCCTCTGCCCACCACTCTTCCACACTACACAACACTGCTCACGTCTCCTCTGCCCACCACTCCTCCACACTACACACACTGCTCACACCACTCCTCCACACTACACAACACTGCTCTCCACTCCTCCACACTACACAACACTGCTCACACACTCCTCCACACTGCTCTCACGTCTCCTCTGCCCACCACTCCTCCACACTACACAACACTGCCACGTCTCCTCTGCCCACCACTCCTCCACACTACACAACACTGCTCACGTCTCCTCTGCCCACCACTCCTCCACACTACACAACACTGCTCACGTCTCCTCTGCCCACCACTCCTCCACACTACACAACACTGCTCACGTCTCCTCTGCCCACCACTCCTCCACACTACACTCCTCCACACTACACTAACAACATTGCTCACGTCTCCTCTTCCACACCACTCCTCCACACTACACAACACTGCTCACGTCTCCTCTTCCCACCACTCCTCCACACTACACAACACTGCTCACGTCTCCTCTTCCCACCACTCCTCCACACTACACAACACTGCTCACGTCTCCTCTGCCCACCACTCCTCCACACTACACAACACTGCTCACGTCTCCTCTTCCCACCACTCCTCCACACTACACAACACTGCTCACGTCTCCTCTTCCCACCACTCCTCCACTATACACAACAAACTTCAACGCCTGATTTCCAACAGTCCTTGGGCTAAGTACTCTCTCTCTCTGACTGTTACCAATCTTTCACCTTCCCCCTCTTTCTAAGCACCAGCAAGAACTTCTTGGACTTGGTCTTTCTTTTGCTACTTCCCTTGCCCCACGCTGTGGCATTGATCTCATTAGTTCCTTTGACAGGTTTGTCAATTCTAACTCTAGTACTCTTTCGGACCTGTCTGCCTTTAGAGGGGCCCTTATCCCCGTTCTTGACAGCTTGTTTTCTAAAAATCACCACCTTTCTCGTCGCTTCCAGCTTGCCCTTGCCTCCCTGAAATCTAACAACTCTATTCTTATCCTTCCTTCCGATAAAGGCAATTCCTTGGCCGTGAGAACTATCTCCGAAAAGCAGATGTCTTGCTCTCTGACTCCCACACATACGCCCCTCTGTTACGGCCACTATGGGTCGCAACCGGGTTCTTTGCTGGAGGAACCAAAGTACTAGTATCCGACCCCAAGTCGGTAGTGGCTTTCAAGGAGTGAGCTTGGTAATGCAAGTAAAACACAAGGGGGGGAGTTGAAAGGAATACGACACTTCATCAATTATCAATATATTCACATATTATCACTTTCCCATCACCTTAAATAGAATCATAAACGAAGTATTACTACACTGATATATACACATGTGTCACTCTCATAGGACACTAAGCGCTCCTCGATGCTCATGCAATGCAGCCTTGTCAACTTCCGTGTTTCCTCAACACACAGTACCGTCCTCAACCAGTACTGGGAAACACCAACGAGTCTACCCTAGCCATGGGCCAGCCTATCTACAGTCTCACTAGGTGCTCCTTGTGAACGCCCACAATCACTCTCCAGCCTGGTGCTGGCAGAGAACATCAGCCTCGCGCTGCTGGGCCTCTACACGAACAAATACAAGGGTAGCGAACCCCTGGCAGGAGCTTCTTGCAACTAGCTAGTTACACTCCTCCGTAGCACCTCACTGTCGGTCGTCTCTTCCTCTAGCCAGTCCCGGGATACGCCGAATTCTGTCACTGCCACTTCACAGGCAGACAGCAGATACTACTCAGTTCCTCTTCGGCGGCGGCTCACTGCTCACGTAAAGCAGAATGGAGTAGAGAGATAATAGGCTGCCCTGGGTAGACTGACTGTCCTCGTACCACTGCAGCCCTACGTCGCCTCTGTGGATACAGACACGTCATCAGTAAACTGGCCAGTACTTGGGACACTAGGAAATACCACTTACGGACTCTGACATTGACATACAACTCCTCCCACAATAGATGGCGCTGATTTTCTAGGCGCCACCTCACCAGAGGTCAGCAACAGCGACTCTTCGGGCTGACCAAGGCAGGAATCTAGAGTCTCTTGCAGGTATCATACTGCCACCACCAGATGGCGTCGTCCATTTAGTGGGGGTTTAGGGAGCAGACTCACAGATGGCGTTGACGTCGCTGCTCCATGCTCCGACGATGGAGTCGGGTTCGTAACACCAGGCGCCGGCGAGAAACAATGGGCAGAGTTTCTTTCACCCTATGCCCCTGTTACCTAGCAGTAAAATAGGTACCTGGGTGTTAGTCAGCTGTCACGGGCTGCTTCCTGGGGGTGGAGGCCTGGTCGAGGACCGGGCCTCGGGGACACTAAAGCCCCGAAATCATCTCAAGATAACCTCAAGATAACCTCCACGGGAGCCGGTCGGCCGAGTGGACAGCACGCTGGACTGTGATCCTATGGTCCCGGGTTCGATCCCGGGCGCCGGCGAGAAACAATGGGCAGAGTTTCTTTCACCCTATGCCCCTGTTACCTAGCAGTAAATAGGTACCTGGGTGTTAGTCAGCTGTCACGGGCTGCTTTCTGGGGGTGGAGGCCTGGTCGAGGACCAGGCCTCGGGGACACTAAAGCCCCGAAATCATCTCAAGATAACCTCAAGATAACCTCTGACGTCTGGGGAAATCTTTGGCCGGTTCAGTGAACATTGTACCTTGCCATACCTCAAGTACTTATCTGCCGTCACTCCAGACTCTTGGGTAT